AGACAGATAGATAGATAGATAGATAGATAGATAGATAGATAGATAGATAGATAGATAGATAGATAGATAGATAGATAGATTTCATACAGTAAATTCTTACAGTCTACTACTAGTGACCGAGAGATACTCGTTCATCTGACTTGTAAACATCATAAGTGTATCTATCCTCAAGTGTTTCCTCAAGTGAGGACGAACGACACAACACGTAACGTTAACGTTACCTCCTCATCCACTTGCTGTAATTTATTAATTACTGGTATTGTATGAAATGTCTGTTTCCAAGTGGGAATGAAGAGCACTCATCTCAGTGTCTTAGGTGCGATTGAGCAGGGAATGTAAACAAAGATACAGTGAGCAAATGTAGTAGTGAAGAGTCCACCATTTTCAAAATAAAAGTCTCATTTCACTGAAAACTGACTGAACTACAGCCGAAGTATCATTAATATCATTTTATAACATTTATTTTCAGTGTAAAGTTGAATATGGGTGTGCCTTTTACAGTTACACCCGTGCGAATCGCTTATAATTATTATTTTTTTCGCTTTTAATTATTAATTAAATGATTCCGACGTTGCTTACGTAACAAAAACAATATTCATTAGCTGAGCCTTCCTTAATTCTTATTCGCCAAGCTAACACCCGCCCACTTACCCACGTCTGGTTGTCAGCCAATCAGCGAGGCTGATTAATGAATATTCAATAGCCAAGCCTTTGGCGTAGTAGGATCCGATTGACGCACTTTGTAAATTACTAACTTATCTGTGGGCGGGAGTAATAAACGGTAATAAAAAGAGAAATAAAGGATCTCACCACACCTGAAAGTGATTGATTACATAGTCAACACAACGCTGTAAACAAACAATCATGCTGGGACGGATTTGTGTTGTTTTCTGCTTGGCAGGTGAGTTTATCACTGGTTTTGGCTAATCAAAGTTTGATGTTTTAAGCGTGTTTTATAACAAAGACGACGTTATTTTTTTTATCTTTAATCCATAAAAGTTCAAACCACAAAAATTATGAAGCAGACTCTTCATATCACGTCATTTAGTATGTTTTATATGTGTGTGTTTTTTCTATATGCGTTAGCGTTGGCAAGCGCAGCTGTGATCCCCGATGGCTCTAAAGTGGTGGGTTGATGATTGTTTATAACTTATTCCTTAATACTAACCTTAATTTAATCACAACATGTATTTCATGTATACTGTGTGCTTCTCTTGACAGCCAAAGTGCTCTGATTACTTCCTTCCTATCTGTACCCGGGAGTTTAACCCTGTGTGTGGAACTGATGGAGTCACTTACCCAAACGAGTGCATGCTGTGTCTGGAAAACATGTAAATCAAGTTTCTAACGTTTCAGTTTGAATGTTCTTACTAGTGTCCTACTGAAACCTTGTTGTCTGTCTTGTCATAGGGAGCTCAAGGTGAACATTGCGATATCCAGGATGGGAGAATGCTGAGACCGATCCACTCGGTTATATTTGGGATGGCATGAAGGCAGGAACCACATGCTGCATTTTAAAGAATGATTTTAATGATGAGATGAAGTGTTTATTTTTGTTCTATATTTAATTGTTCTAATCCTTAAATAAAGGCTTTATGTAGTAAGTTGTTGCTTTGTACTTTTTGTCTTGAGTTTAAATCTGTATCAGGAGCTTTTCTCAGTTGAATCAAAGCACGTGAGACACTGGATTCGAGTGAATGGTCCATCTACAGTAGGACATGAGACCTTTTTCTAACTAAATAAATAAAATAAAATAAAAATATTCAATGAGGTAATAAAACATTGTGCATGTTTGCCATTTGCTTTAGAGAGAAATGAGTGATGAATCAGTGTGTGAACACCATAAAACAAAGGTAATGTCAAAGTTTGTGTAATTTGACTTCTAGTAGAGCCTTTGAGTGATGGGAAAATGAAACGGGGAACTTTTCAAATCACTTAGTCCAAATCAAACAGCACAAAGATAACTGTTTAAATGATGCCAAGTTACAACACACACTCCATGATTGCACTGTATAAACAGTCAAACACACTGTTACTCCCACTGTGCGGCCAATCATCTTCTACTGTGGTATCATATCTAATGCAAGGGAACAAACTTTGTACCACATGATTCCTATTCCCTAAATATTTACAACAAACAGGACAGGCTGTTTTACATGGCCTAGGGCTATAACTAAGGTACATTTTATGTGTATTTTATTATATTTTCAAGGGTATCATTCATGACTCATAATCATTAAAGAACATCAAATACTGCTGTTGATTTAATGAAATGGTTTGTGAGTTGAACTTGCTGCACTGATTCAACTGCAAAATATAATCTATTGAACTGCTGTTGTCTAAATAAAATTTGAGGGAGAGTAATTATACTGACAGGGAACTATCCCTTTAACAGTGGCAGAAGACAGAACTGTTGGGCCTTGTTTTATCACTATTTAACTGTAAGAAATCCAGCATTTAATGTCTTGAAGACATGCAAACAGATTAGACACAGAACAATTGTTGTTTTTAACTAGAAGATACAGCTGAGTGTCGTCTGCATATACTGTAAATTATATGATATGTTGTGTTTCTGAACAATATGGCCGAGTGGAAGCATATATAAGGCTAAAAGAAGAGGACCCAGAACAGAGCCCTGGGGAACACCAGATGAGATTTGAGCATTAAATGAGAAATATTTCCCCAAATTAACAGAAAAAGTTATGTTCTTAAAGGTGCATTGCGCAACATTTCATGATAAAAATACTGTAGCTGTTTTTCTAACTCATACATGCTTAAACAATTGCCTGATGGGCTGAATGAGCCCTTCTCTGATCACTGCGATCGCCTCTATAATCCTGTCCAGTAAAATAAATAAGAGGGATTCGGGACGGATTTGAGACTGGCGTGACGTCATGTGTGTTTACGCTCGCCTGGCGATGTCTGCAGGTTTGTGTGTTTGCCGCCATTCTCCGTATCAGCGAAGACAACTCGAGCGACACAACTTTAGTCAACTTTCCACAAAAGTAGAAGTTGGATTCAAAGAGACCGGCTTGTACTTCATTCCAAACCCCAACGCAAACTCCACGTCACACAAAGAAAATAAAGCTTTTGTCTAGTGCCAGGCGTCGGAATAAGACGAGAGTCAACATCGGGAAGCTTTCAACACGTGGAGAGATCTCCGGTCGGCTCTAGGGCTCAAACGGGTCCTATAGACCTTGTGTAGCCCCGCCCCTTTTCAGCATTGCGCTCATTGTCTTTTGACTTCCGGTCTGTATTTCCACAGCGATCTTGCCTATAGGTATGAATGAACTGCTTGTAAAAAAAATTCCCGTTCGACATCTGTTAAGAAAATATGCTTTGCAATGCTTATGATAAACATTACAATGCTCATGGTAACTTTTGTTAACTCTACAATAAGTAAATCCACTTCACCAGCGAATTACTCCTCGACAGCGATGCCATAGAAATATACAGAACCGGAAGTTCAAAGACAATATTCTAAAGGTGACGGCGCCCACGTTTCTCTGGTGCATAAGGTCTATACAAAGTAATAACTTGTATTGTTCATGAACGTGTTTCCATAATATTATAATCATAAGTGGATACAGTAAACACGTAAAACAGTTCAACATGGAGATAGATGGAAACAAAAAACTAAGTTTTCTACTACCCCCGTTTCCCCCTCACACACACATAAGTGTGTAATTTACTCAAATGCCTTTCCTTTCATATATTTTAAATGACTTGCAGATTTATAACTTTATTACCTCTATACCTCTGAAGACATTATGACTGTAAACAAAAGATGTGTGCGGCTGATGCTCCTTTGGTAATGGACAGCTCGTGCAAGCGTGTGTGTGGTCCATGAGCGCGTACACCTCTGGGTGCAGTTTCGCTTGTCGCCAGAGGGGGCGTAGTTCTGCAAAAACTCAAAGACTTGCGCAATGCACCTTTAAAGAAGCATTGCAGAAGTTCTGAAATTTCTTAGCTGACGCTTTTATCCAAAGCGACTTACAATTACTATACACTCTAAAAAATGCTGGGTTGTTTTAACCCAATTTTGGGTAAAATATGGACGAACCCAGCCAATTGGGTTAAAAATATAATTTAAAAATGTAACCCAATGGCTGGGTTTGTCCATATTTTACCCAAAATTGGGTTAAAACAACCCAGCATTTTTTAGAGTGTATATGTCAGAGGTCGCACGCCTCTGGAGCAACTAGGGGTTAAGTTTTGCTCAGGGACACATTGGTGTCACACAGTGGATTCAAACCCGGGTCTCTCACACCAAAGGCATGTGTCTTATCCACTGCGCCATCACCACCTTCTTACTCTTACTGACACCAGTGGCCGTTAGAGAAACTACACACGCTCGTTGGCCGCTCTAGATAAGCCTTTTTTCCGTGGGTATCTGGATTGTGCTGGGGGCTGGTCACTTCTTTCCGTCCGCAGAGTCCATTTGCCGTCCGCTGCTTACTAATGAATGCCAACGAATGACGAATGTGAGTTTTCGCACCAATTTGGACCCGACTCTTCCACACATAATTTAGCCTACAGGCTGATAGAGGCAACCGTGGTGGATAGTCCCGGGGTCATTCTTTCTATTACATTATGGTGGGTCTCTATGAAGATTTTTTTTTAAGTCAAAACCTACACATAGCCCCTTTAAGAAAAGATGCAAACCAACTCAGCACAGATCAGTGAAACCCAGCTACATGATCAAGTCTTTGCAAAAGGATGTCTGTGTCAAGTGAGACACGAATCAGTGGAGATCTCTAATGGGGCATTAAGATTTAAAAATACATTAATTGTACTAAAAAGGACCTTCGGGCTTTGTGTATTCTGTGCAGGACAAGTAACATTGTGTATAACATTTTTTGTACTTTGTACAGAACAACTTTTTTGAAGAAGCAATGAACTTAGAAAATAGTTCCCTAGTTGAGTATGTTTACAGGAACTGAATGTAAACTGTAAATGTTATCCATGATTGACTTTGTACAACTAAAGTGATTATTTATTTGACATTACACACATCTACCAGCCAAAGTAAATACATCTATTGAACTAAAGGTGCTCAGTAATTGTGATGTGATAAATCAGTGGGATGGACGGTCCGCTCCCACGGTAAGAGGCGGATACAGTATTGATATAAATAGCCGAATCATTTCATCACTGATCATATCGTCAGTTTAAGTGAGTTGAATCTCAAGCTGTGAACAATGTTTGCTCGAGGAATCATCGTCCTTCTCTGCGTCCTAGGTGAGTAATATAATAATTTAATTCACAAAACAACTGATACTAGGATGTTGCTAATTTGTAACAAGATGGTAAGGAAAGGTAAGGTAATTTATTTATTAAAAACAATGGATAGTTGACCAATGTGTGTAGTTGAGAGAATGTACAGAACATTTATACATGTGTAAAAATGAATATGCTTTATCTACTTAAAAACATTGCGGCAAATGCGTGGATCACTCTCTCTAAAGCCTCAGATTGGCTTGACTTTTTATTTTCTTAATTGAAAGAAGCCTGATCGAACAACAGCGTTAACTTGTTTGTCAAATTTCAGTGAGTTATCAAAAAATACACCCAAGTTTTTCACCATGGATTTAAAGGACCTGCGATACACACTGGTACTCGGTAACAGTCTAATTGGGTCATAATGAAGAGTTTAATTGTTTAGTCTGCACAATCTTTAGTCTTAATTCACCTTTGCTGAAGTTAAGTAGGAAAAATGACAAATGCATAAGATGAGTCACATTCAGATATTTTAAGTGTGATTTAAGCAGCCCGATCTCATGAAAGTTCGTATCTATGGCACGAATGTCATTTCTCGTGGCATTTATACGCCAAAAACAGTTTTTGCGTGTATATGGCACGCGATTTTCGCATACATATGATACGCACTTTTTCGCGTATAATACGCACGAACTCCCCACCCCCCTCCCCCCTAAACCTAACCCAGGGTTTTTTAGTGCGTACCATATACACGAAAAAAACACTTTTGGCGTATAAATGCCACGAGAAATGACACTCGTGGTATAGATATGCTCATAAGTTCAGAAAAAAAAGACTAAAGTTCGATTAATCGCGATTAATCGCGATTAATCGCATCCAAAATAAACGTTTGTGTTTACATGATATATGTGGGTGCACTGTGTATTTAGTATATTATAATTAATCACGATTAATCGCATCCAAAATAAACGTTTGTGTTTACATGATATATGTGGGTGCACTGTGTATTTAGTATATTATAATTAATCGCGATTAATCGTTTGACAGCCCTAGTTTTTATCAACAAAACAACAGATTTTACGCAAAAGTCATGATGTCATGTTGGTTATTTCCTCTTGCCATATCATGATAAACTTTAATCTTTGTTTTTCCTTCTTGACACAAACAGTGGCCATATCTGATGGAGCAAGAATGGTGAGTAAATAAAGGCTGTAGAATTGCTTACTTCCAGGTGCAAATAACTCACGTTTTTTTTTTTTTTTTTTTTTTTCTTTTATGACCAGGCAAATTGCAGGCACTCGTCTAACATGTGCACAATGCAATATTCACCCGTGTGTGGATCCAATGGAATAACATACGGCAATGAATGCATGATGTGTGGTGCCATCAAGTGAGTTTAAACATGCATGCTTTTTAAAATAAAATACTGTAGGTTTAAGAAAATGTTTAGAGTCTGCCACTTTCAAACTTTAATATTCAATTTAATCTCTCTCTCTCTCTTTAGGGCATCAGGCACTCAAATCTTGGTCCAGAAGATAGGCCCATGTGGAGAAACACAGGAATGGCAACAGGCTTGACAGACCTTTAGTCGGCTACTCAAGTCTCATTCATTATGACCTGAATGTGTAATGGTTTAATCCATAAATAAATGTTGCATATTGAAGCTGTTCTGTTTGGTTCTGTGTTCTCTTTCAAATCCTGGAAAGACAAGATGATAAAATAGCGGATTTACTTTGAAAAAAACCACCCAAGAGAGCTGAGCAGAATATCGTAAAAAGTGTGTGCTGTAAGTGGCATTCGATCAGCAGGTGACGGTCTCTGTGTGTTACTGTCTTTCCATGTGGAAAGAGTAATTTGATTAAATAAAAAAAATACAAATTTCATGTACTAACTCATTATTTAATCTGACTCCTAATGACATCTGTGCATTACTAAATGTGAGCGAATGTTTGACTATTCTTTTTAACTCTTTACTGAAAATAATGTCAGAGTCGATTAGAATAAAATCAAACATTTAGCCTACAATTTATTATATCAGGTAAATGTATCATGCCAATTTCAAAATCAGTTCAAAGATAATAGATACAAAAAATCAAATGCTCTGGAATAAAGAGAAAAGATGCAAAACCTTGACATTATAAAACACATGATCCGAATACGTCTTTTGGTTGTATTCACATCACGGGCTGGTCTGGGTTACAGAATCCCCCGAGTCTCTTGCTGCATTTCATTATATAGACTTTTGCTAACAATAGCAATTTACATTCAGGTGATGTAGGTGAAGGAGTGGGGGAAGAAAGAAAGAAATGTATTCTGAGGTGAGACTTTTCATCTCAAATGGTGATGCTAACTTCACAAGAGAGAGTTCAAATGTTAATGGTCCCCTAATAAAGCAACTTTTCACAAGATGTAAAATGAGTCTCTGATGTCCCCAGAGTGTGTATGTAAAGTCTCAGCTCAAAATACCCAACAGATCATTTTTTACAGCATGTTTAAATTGTCATTTTTGGGGTCTCGGAAAAACGCGCTGTGTGAGTGTGTTCCCTTTAAATGCAAATGAGCTGCTGCTGCTGCCGGCACAGGGGGCGGAGCTTCAAGAGCTCGCGCTCAGTCTCTCACGACGATTTCATCTCACGGAATGACGACGATAATATCAGAAACTCTGGATTATGTATCCATTATTTATTTATAGCCTACAAGTCTGCTGTTTCGGACCAGGTCCGAATGATGATCCAACTCAAACATATACTGATGAGTTTAATAAAGTTTATTGTACATCACACAAAAGATGAAGCATCAGTTTTACTTCAGAAAATCACCGTAAGAGCTGAGTAAACAGGCTAAGTTATAAGAAGTACGCAAGTTGAGGGAGTTGATGGAGCATTCCTGTGGGCGGATGTTATGCTGCGTTCATGTGCTGGTAGCTAATTATGATAAATACCAAAAGCCGATATAGAAAATGCACATGAACACCCCCTCATATGGTATTTACCATTGGGCAACTCGTAGAATATTTTGAGGAGTTGCCGAGATGAGATCAGGGATGAGATAACCTTTGACCATTTCAAAATGGCGGAGAGCACCACGAGAGTCGTGAATGTAAAAAAAAAAAATTATATACTATTCATGATCTAGAAAATATACAGCATATTATTTACCTTTTGAGTTTTGATAAATCATTTTCTTGCTGTAGCAGATGGCTTAAGCACTCTAAAATAGCTTTAGCTAAATAACAGGTCTGGATCTCCATCTTTTTACCACATTACGACAACAAAAGCACTTGAACGCAGCACACTGGTAAATAAGTGGAAAATGTCCTATTTTCCATAGCACGTGAACGCAAACTGTTCTACTGACGTCATTAAACAAGGAAGTAGAGGAACCGGGCCGTTCCATGTAGGCTACTTCTGTTAAATAAAATATCTCTCTTGGCATTGAACTTTGTTTTTTTACAGAAATTATTTATACTTTAACAACAATATTACACACTGACTAAAGTGTGAAACATGGGATCACGAAGAACGGGACCTTTAATTTCCAGCAAAAATGTTCAGAGCACTAGACTAGATTATATGAAATACATCATATTGCCATAATTATTGGGACACCCCTCCAAATCATTGAATTCAGGCATTCCAATCACTTCCATGGCCACAGTTGTGTAAAATCAAGCGCTAGGCATGCAGACTGCTTCTAGAAACATCTGTGGAAGAATGGGTCGCTCTCAGGAGATCAGTGAATTCAAGCGTGGAACCGTGATAGGTTTCCACAAGTCCAATAAGTCCATTTGTGAAATTTCCTCACTACGAAATTTTCCACGATCAACTTTTTTATATACAAAGTGCAAGCAATTGGGAACAACAGCAACTCAGCTGTATTGAGTTAGCTCAAAGGGGAAATATTAATAATTAGTCATAACTTGTTATGATTGATGATTAATATGGGTCAGTTAACTTGATGTACAACATGACATCATGACTTTTGCATAAACATACACGCCACTTTCGAGTCAAGTGGCGTGTTATCGCTAGCTATCCGCGTGTATGCGTGTATGTCTACGCCATTAACGTCCGAGTGATTCCGCGTGTACACACGCAACATGACGTGGATTCCGCGTGGATGACACACGCAACATGACATCATGACTTTTGCGTAAACATATACGCCACTTTCGAGTCAGGTGGCGTGTTATCTCTACACATTTTGAGCTATCCGCGTGTATCCGCGTGTATGCGTGTATGTCTACGCCATTAACGTCCGCATCATTCCGCGCGTCTGTAGACGCAGTCAAATCTCCAGTCATAAATGCCATTAATCCCAGTGACGGTTAGGTTTAGGGACGGGGTTGAGGTAAGTCATATATTTATATAACGTTAAGTCAACGGCGTTCATAAACACGCTGAAAGGCGATTATGCGTCTTGATAGCACGCCAAAAATGGCGTGTCATACACACGCTACTTCATGAGATCAGTCTGACACACGGATGACATTACCTTTATGGTGCTGGAGGAATCCACCGCAGATCTCATCCTGGGACGCCCGTGGATGATTCAACACCAACCACACATCGACTGGAGGTCCGGTGAGATACTCTATTGGAGTGATGAGTATTTCATGTCTTGTCTATCTTCTGTTCAAAGAATTCCTGGCAAATCGTCATCTAGAGTCTCGCAATCCACTCCACCTCTGTGGAAAGTCCAGACATCACTCACCAGGTTGAAATTCTTTCAGAATACCACAGATCCCAGGGGTCATGGTAGACCTCGTCGCCGTCGTCATCATCTTTCCACCCTGTGGTCAGAAGCCGCCCATGGAGGAGAGGGTGATGTCACGGCTCCACCAGATCTACAGACTCCACCCACTCGATTACTAATCACCACACCGGCACCTCGTCACCTGTTCACTATATACGTTCACTTGCACCACTCTTCATTGTCTGAACTCATCTTTCCATGGACACACAAACTCTACCTCAATCCTTACCTTTTCCACTTACCTGCCGTCCTCGTCTTCCGATCCCGAACCTGCGATCCCCATCAGTGACTCTCATCCACGTCTGTCATCATCACTCGTTCAGTTCTCTGCCTGAACTGACCCACATATTACTCATCAGCTAAATTCCATTCAACTCTCTTCATTATGTTCAATTCACGTCACCTGTCTGCTTCATCACTCGCAATACGACATACGAATATTACAATACGCAATACGAATATTCAACAATATGACGATACATGCAATCAAGTGAGTTTAAACATGAATGCATTTTAAAATAAAGTACTGTAGGTTTAAAAATAGTCTGTCACTTTCAAACTTTAATTTTCAATTTAATCTTAACTTTTTAACTAAGGTCAAATCTTTATCAAGATCCCCATGTTTAACCCTTCCAATAACTTAGTCGGTTACTCATGTCTCATTATTTATGACTGTGTAATGGTTAATCCATAAATAAATGTTGTATATTTACGCCCTCAAACACATCCTGTTAGATAAATTTTCAGGGAGCCTCGAGGCTATCAGTTGGAAACCGAGAAAGTGTAGTACCATAACACTCAAATTTATTAAAGAAAGGTCATAATTATACACAATATAAAGCAGATTTGCCCACGATGGCCAGGCCATCAAGTTATATACTCAAGATCAACCTTTACCTGATATAGAAATACAACAAGAGTTATCATGAGTTGTGAGATGTTCTATATGTGTGTCCAAGGCTCAGTTCTTGTTTTTGAGTCTATGACGTGCAGATAACACAACAGAAAAAAAGTTACACAATTGCAGTCTTACAAAAAGTGGAGTCTAGCCATTCCACCGAATGGGTGACATTTGCTTGTTGTAAATCTTCAAAAATAAACTTTCATTTTATTTTTTTTCAACATTGAATCTATTACTACACATGTTTAACTATTCAAAATGTGCATTGGTCCATCTCAGGCAACTTTATTTAATTTTTTACAAGGTTTCTAAGCAGACTATGGACGCATGTTTTCTCAGTCCTGTTACCGAAACTCATGTGCCATTTAAAAAGCATGTTTAAAAGCATGTCTATTAATTCCTTTGTTTTCCCCACAAGAAAGTGTTTATTTTAAAGAAATTGTTGGTTATTTGTTCAAATAATTGATATTTGTGACAAAAAAATCACTATATATTAAGGCAAGGTGTTGTTTATTTTAATATAAAACATATAGCCATTTTTTCACTTTAAAGAAAACCGAAGCCTCAAGTTTATAATTTTTTTTTAATAATTTAATGTATTAAACAAATGTATAAATGATGGACCAAACAAAACTGTTAAAAACAGTGGTTTAACATGAATTTTTTAGAAAAAGAAAAAAAAAATAGTAACAGGAATGAACATTAGGCAACAGGAATGAGTGTCTAAATGAGTGTGTATGAGAGATACTGTACATGACTGTGTGTGTTTGAGAGAGAGTGTATATGATTATGTGTGCATAAGATTTCTGTGTAGAAGTGATTTACTATGTGCTAGTAGTACTTCACAGCAATGGAGGTGGAAAGAGAAAAAAGGAGAGAGAGAAGAAGAGATGGAGGGAGAATGAGGGAAGTTAAGACAAAAAAAGGGAGAAAAGAGAGGGTTGCAGGTGTGTCTTGCTTGTTCCCAGTGCAGCATGCCCTAGGTGGGTGTTTCTGGCATCTACATAGT